GGTCTTAGATGCCTGATACCTGATCCCATGGACACCTCATGATCACACAGGCCGGTGTACTTCTTCCATGTGGGCTTTGTTGCTTCTGAGCTAGATGGCCGTTATCTTCAAGGTGGCAATGGATTTTTAAGATCAAAGTATAGAAAAAGTGTCAGGTTGGCTCTTGGAAGCTTAAAGCTTTGTATGGTACCCAATCTGGTTGTAGAAGAATGAACCCTAGACTTAAAATAACATATCTGGCAATTGAATCCTAGCTATAATTTATTACTTGTCTAATGCATCAGATATGCAACCTTGATAGATTCATTTAACCGTGGCCTCTAACTGTAGATTTGTGAATTGTACTATAATAATACCCTGACACCCTGTGTGGCAGAATTGTCATTTACACTCCATCATTATTATCTGCAGTCTATTCAAGATACTGTCCTTTGCAAAAATGTTAAATAGTGGATGGTAGGGAGACTAAAAAGAGATACAGCTTTAGAGAATGTTATAAAACCTGGATCATGGCACTTTTACATGCAATGATTTTGCTTTCTACAGCTTCAACTATGCGGTTGAAAGTATCAGAGAGAAGTTGAAGGCAAACCCGTTGCTTTTACAGGTAAATTGGTTGATTGATAAGGTATCTCTTGCTTATCCATTTATTTTACTGTGACATAAATTTCTGAATCTCAATTCTTTTTTGTGGAAGAACTTGGGACACAAAAACAGCTATAGATTCTTAGAATAAAGTTCATAGAGGTGTTTGAGGGCAAAGTAGGTTTATCAACTGTGCAATTCTAATTGAGTGATTAGTTGATGATGCTAATCTTATTTTGACTTATAGTTACCAATCGGTGAAGCCAAAACGTTCAAAGGAATGGTGGATGTAGTAAATAAGGAAAAACTGCTCTGGAATCCCAATTCAGATGATGGAAAAGAGTTTGAGAGAAAGCCTCTCTTGGAAGTGAGCGATCCTGGATTGCTAAAGGAGACAACAGAAGCAAGAAATGCCTTGATTGAACAAGTAAAATAAGTACTTTGGGTTTGAAATTGCTTAAAGCTTTTTGTTAAGTGCTCTCAAAGTCACTTTCAGTGCCTAACAACCCATATGACAGGGTGGGACCATCCCTGGGCTGTTGAGACTACTCTATAGAGGAGCAGATCTCAGGTCTTTATTGCACAGAACGACTGGCTGGGCTTGACCCACCAATACAGGGATTAGCAGCTGAGCTGTGGCCCCTTTAAAATAATTTAGAATCTTAAAAACTAACATGAAATTGTATATAAGATTATGTAAGAAGGGACTTCAAAAAGGAAAAAAGATAAGCATCTGTCAATTCTATCTTTGCATAAACTTTTTGGAAGCCCCCTTCTATATGAAATATGTAAATATAATGAATAATAAAACACTAACGTATATGCTACTGAGGTTAAGAAAGAGTATTAGCAATGACCTTCAGTTTTTGTTGTTTAATCATTTTATTAGGGGCTCATACAACTCTTATCGCAATCCATACATACATCAATTGTGTAAAGCACATTTGTACATTCATTGCCCTCATCATTCTCAAAACATTTGCTCTCCACTTAAGTCCCTGGCA